TATAATATGTGTATGCTTTGACTGTTGATGCAATCTGGTGAAGGTGACTTTCCAATGATGAATTGCATTACTAAAGCAGAAACTAAATGGGATGATGAATTTCTGCTTTTAGAAGTCCTGTTGCTCGATGTCATGGTACGTGTATATATCTCTATCATGTCTCTGCTGATATTACAGCCTCTGTCAGCTGTTCTCCTACCACCGTGTGCCAGAAAGAACAATTTCACTGTAAGCGAATGTGACCTTATGGAACGCTAGGCCTTGTAAATCACATGTCCCTTATCTAAGACCCTCGTTTATATTAGTTTATGTCCAGCACATCCGCTGATACAAGTGGGCAGTATGGGGTTTGGCAATTTATTTTCTTTGGGTTGCAAGCCTCAGTCTTTGATTTAATGCCTGTTACAGTGTCTGTAGCAATATATTACAGACAGCGAAGCTGGCTTTTAACAGCCAAACTCTTTTGTCCATGTTTTACAGTGTAAATATTCCCTTTGTGTTTATTGGAATAGTGAATTATTTATCACATTACAACAAGAAACCCAGACATGGCTTAAAATATTGCAATAGATCATTATTATAGCAGTGGAAGACAGAACTGAACAAATAAGGTTCAGAGTGCAGCATATGAATAGCATAGACACCCCATTTTGCAGGAATTACCTAGTAAAATGTATATTAACTTAGCAGTGCAACTGTTATTTCACAATGCTGGCTTGCCTTCAGTAATAAAAAATGGCCATAGGCATGAACATTCTACAATGAAAAACCAATCAGGTTCTTCTTTTTATTTTCTTGCCTGTGCAAGCAGTATGAATGCAAAGAGCTGATTGATTGCAATGGAGTCAATACAATAAATTCTGCTCCTCTATTTGCAAGTAGTCCCTGATTTCTAGAATACCCTAGACTTTGTTTTTAGAAGTGTTTTTAGTTTTTGGTTAGCTGACCCATTTTAGCACACAACCCTCATGTGTTTTTGCACAAAGCCCCAAAGGATACCCCTAGACAAGAGATAGTGATTGGCCAAATTCCTAATAAACAATTTCACATTTGTTGAGAAAAAATAACACATTAGGTGGCTAATTTCAGATATTTTTAGTTTCAATTAAAAAACTTCATAAAAACAAATTATACTAGTTGGATGTAGCATCGGGCCCCCACCAGCTCTAAGACCGAGAACTGAATGATCAAACACCATTGATTGATCAGCTCTCAGTCTTCAGGCTGCAGACAGCTGGTGACTTGTCAGTTGCAGCTCTCTGCTCTTCCCCTCCAGTGCTTAATGGAGAGCCAAGCTGTGGAGGGGCTGGAGCAGCTGGCTCAGTCTCTCAGTGGATCACTAAGAGGCTGAGCCAGCTACCGCTTCAGGCATCTGGGTGGATCCAGACTATGTGGTTGGGATCATTTCAGAACCTGGAGTGGCTAAAGCCCGCTGACAGCTGAAAATGAGTCACAGGATTGCAGAACAAACTTCACTCCTGTGATTCATAGGAAAAGTACAGCAAAATGCTTTGGCTATGCTTCTCCTTTAATAAACCTTATATTAGATTCTTACCTTTTGTTGCTGTGAAAAAATAGCTCTTTGTTTCACCAGACTGATCACATACTCATTCTAAATGACTGGTTCATTAGAATCAGCTGATGCATTTTCTGTGTTCTAATAAGGAAATCTTCAGTGTCTGCATCCCTTTAGAAGTGATTAACGCTTGGTGAGTATCTCACCAAAATGTACATGTCTATTGCAGGGGGTGCCTAAAATCTGACTTGAAAAGTGCAGAGACCTCAGGAAATCAATGAGCCAATCACACAGTAAATTACATTTTTGGAGGCATTCTGTACTCCAGCAGTGTCACCAGATTGCCATATTGCATTGAATTTGACAGAAAATTGCACTGATACAGATAGAAAAGAAAAGCTAATTTTTAATAACATTAAATTACAACATGGTATGTGTAGCAATTGTATATGCTATATTATTTTTTTTAAATGTTACATGTTTTTTTTTCCACAAAAGTGGAATTACCCTTCAAAGATCTTATTGTAGATTTTATTTTCTCAAAATACAACTGCTTTCTTGAAATTTTCATGTGTATCATGTATCGTTCCAATAACTTAAACTAGAGCCAAATCCTCCCTGGGTCTCTGGAGCAACTAACCTAATACATATGCCTGCGCAGCCTTGCAAATTATAGTAGACTTACCTCTGGGTTTGACCTCCTCCTGACAAATTTGTGTTTCCTCTTGTCACTCAGCACAGCCATCTTTTTTTATCTTTATTCTGCCATCGTATTTTTTCAGTCATTTGGTGGCCACTGATGATATGGCTCTTGTGCATTGGAGTTACATCATCCTGGCACCAGACTTTATTCTCTGTATGTCACAGCTGCCAGGAGTCGGTCGGAAGTGTATACTGCACTGTGCATGGCCTGCTGGCAGTGTACACAATGGGTAAAGGAGGTTTTTTTTGCCCAAGGAGACTTACAAAGTCCCTTTTACCAGAAAACTCTATCTGCTAACATTTTTTTTTTCAATTGTACAAGTTGGATTATAAAAATAGTAATAAAATAAATAATAGAAATACATTATAGTAATCATCACATAGTTATTTTAAAATGCATCTATGTCAAAACTATAGTCATTAAAGTATTTACTGTATATATCTTAACCAGCAGTTAAACAGCTTAAATCAGCACTGACCTTTATAGCTGCTTGTATTGTGAAGTAATTCATCCTCAAAGATCCTTAAGGATCGCAACTAAAACTCTGAGGTCAGTTACAGGGGTTCTAACAACTGAGAAATACCTGCTATGTGTTTACATCACAACAGAAATTCTGCTTTGCATACTCAGATTTTAGAGCCTCTGCCTTATACTTTGATGATAAATTTCTCCACAATCTTTATAGCTACAGATGTGATTTAAAACACTTTCCTGCTTTTTACTGCATGTTTAAATATGTTAGTGTGCAAATTCTATACACAGGTTTAGGCTACATTCACACTAGCTTTGTCAGCAGGCGTCAGACAGGCGTTTGGGAAGCATTTGTAACACTTCTCAAATGCCTATGAAAATTCTGCACATGGCAGCACACAGTGCTGTTCACACTGAAGAGTTAGTGTCGCTTTGCGGAAAAACTGACGCCTCATGTGGAGTCAGGAGGAGTAGAAGCCTCCCATTCAAGTCTATGGTGCCACTCCTCAAACGCCTGGCAAGGTGGTTGCAAGGCGGTTGCAGAGCGTTAATACCAATTAACTTCATTCTAGGTGTTTGTGGTGCGGTTTTAATGCTTGGCAAATGCCTATCAACCACCTCAAAACTGCGTATAGGGTGTTTGGGGAGCGTTTGAGGATCCTTAAAAATGCTTCCCAAACGCCTGTGTCAGGGCTCCCAGGTGTGACCAGAGGTGTGTGACTGACGCAGGGAAACGCAGACTTCAAATATGTGATAATAAATTATATTGTTTAACACTAACAATACAAACATAAACGCAGTGCAATACTAAACATAATACAGTGCAAAAACAAACCAAACCAACCACCCACAGATAACAGTACATACAAGCAAGCGTCGTCAGGCAGGCCGGGTCAATATCAATTGGGCAGGTAGGTACAGGGGGAGCAAGCGGAGATTGGTCGGGGTCACAGGCCAGGTTCAGCAGGTAGCTAGCAGCGTAGTACAGAGGGTCAGGCAGAGGGATGGTCAGACAAGCCAGGGATCAGAACAGGTAGCAAGCAGAGAATCAGACAGGAACAGAGAGCAGGAACAGGATACAGGGCCCAAGAGAAGCACAACACCAAGGCAGAGTCTGCAAGTCTGGCCATCCCTTAAATACCCCAGCATAATCAGTTCCAGGTGTTAGCTGGCTGCAAAGTTGAGTCTCTGATTGCTGGGAGCACCCGCTGGCCAGCCCTGGTACTGCAGATCAAAAGGCAGGTGAGTCCCACCATTGCTGGCTAGTCCATTCCTGACAGTACCCCCCCCTCAAGGAGCGGCCTCAGGACGCTCCAAACAGTCCTAGCTGGGCAAAATGTTCCACCGCCCGGGTCTGGTAACTGGCGGGATATCAAAGACTGGCACACCGGGCAGGACTCTGGGCAGCGGCACACCGGGCAGGACTCCGGGCAGCGGCAGCGGCACACCGGGCAGGGGCACACCGGGCAGAGGCACATCGGGCAAAGGCACACCGGGCAGAGGCACATCGGGCAGGACTCCGGGCAGAGGCACATCGGGCTGGACTCCGGGCAGAGGCACATCGGGCTGGACTCGGGCAGAGGCACATCGGGCTGGACTCCGGGCAGAGGCACATCGGGCTGGACTCCGGGCAGAGGCACATCGGGCTGGACTCCGGGCAGAGGCACATCGGGCTGGACTCCGGGCAGAGGCACATCGGGCTGGACTCCGGGCAGAGGCACATCGGATTACCAGGCGAAGCAGCAGGCAGCGGGCCACCAGGCGGAGCAGCAGGCACCGGGCCCCCGGGGGGGGCAGCAGGCACCGGGCCGCCGGGCGGGGCAGGCAGGCACCGGGCCCCCGGGCGGGGCAGCAGGCACCGGGCCCCCGGGCGGAGCAGCAGGCACCGGGCCCCCGGGCGGGGCGACAGGCACCGGGCCCCGGGCGGGGCGACAGGCACCGGGCCCCCGGGCGGGGCGACAGGCACCGGGCCCCCGGGCGGGGCGACAGGCACCAGGCCCCCGGGCGGGGCGACCGGTATCAGGTCCCCAGGCGGGGCGGGCGCCGGGCCCCCAGGCAGAGCGGCGGGCGCCGGGCCCCCAGGAGGGGCGACAGGTGTCGGGCCCCCAGGCGGGGCGACAGGCATCGGGCCCCCAGGCGGGGCGACAGGCATCGGGCCCCCAGGAGGAGCGACAGGCATCGGGCCCCCAGGAGGGGCGACAGGCATCGGGCCCCCAGGCGGAGCGACTGGTCTCGGGCCCTCAGGCGGAGCGGCGGGCGCCGGACCCCCAGATGGAGTGACAGGTCTCGAGCCCCCAGGCGGAGCGACAGGTCTCGGGCCCTCAGGCGGAGCGGCGGGCGCCGGACCCCCAGATGGAGCGACAGGTCTCGGGCCCCCAGGCGGAGCGGCGGGCGCCGGGCCCCCAAGTGGAGCGACAGGTCTCAGCCCTCAGGCGGAGCGGCGGGCGCCGGACCCCCAGGTGGAGCGACAGGTCTCGGGCCCTTAGGCGGAGCGGCGGGCGCCGGACCCCCAGGTGGAGCGACAGGTCTCGGGCCCTCAGGCGGAGCGGCGGGCGCCGACCCCCAGGTGGAGCCACAGGTCTCGGGCCCCCATGCGGAGCGACAGGTCTCGGGCCCCCAGGCGGAGCGGCGGGCGCCTGACCCCCAGATGGGGCGACAGGTCTCGGGCCCTCAGACGGAGCGGCGGGCGCCGGACCCCCAGGTGGAGCCACAGGTCTCGGGCCCCCATGCGGAGCGACAGGTCTCGGGCCCCCAGGCGGAGCGGCGGGCGCCTGACCCCCAGGTGGAGCGACCGGTCTCGGGCCCCCAGACGAAGTGGCGGGCACCGAGTCGTCTGGCAAGACAGTGGGCTCCGAGTCAACAGGCACGACAGTGTGTGCACCGGGTCATCAGGTATCGAATTGTCTGGCTCGACAGCGGGCATCGGGTCACCAGGTATGACAGCGGGCACTGAGTCAATTGGCACGACAGCGGGCACTGGATCAGGTACCGGATCATCTGGATCAAGAGCGGGCATCGAGTCAACTGGCCTAATAGGATCGTCGGGCTGGATCAGTTCATCATGCTGAGTAGCTGAGTAGCAGCATCAGGCTGAATGCAGGCATCAGGCCGAGTAGAGGCTTCAGGCCGAGTAGAGGCATCAGGCTGAAGAGAGGCATCAGGCTGAAGAGAGGCATCCGGCTGAAGAGAGGCATCAGGCTGAAGAGAGGCATCAGGCTGAAGAGAGGCATCAGGCTGAAGAGAGGCATCAGGCTGAAGAGAGGCATCCGGCTGAAGAGAGGCTTCAGGCTGAAGAGAGGCATCCGGCTGAAGAGAGGCTTCAGGCTGAGTAGAGGCTTCAGGCTGAGTAGAGGCTTCAGGCTGAGTAGAGGCTTCAGGCTGAGTCACGGAAGGTAGGTTCACCGGTTTGGATACTGGCAGGATGGTATTGGTTGGAAAGAATTTTCGCTTTTTTCTGGTTTTAACTACTGGAGCACTGCAAGTAAACGCAGGTCTGCAAACGAATGGAGCAGCTGGAGACAGAGAAAAACTGGAGGATGGAACAAGAGAGGGAGCAGTTGCTACAGAGGACTTTTTTACAGGGTTAAAGGCAGGATAGGTGCAGCGAGTGGGAACAGGGTACTGACATGCGGTAGATAGCCAAGTATACTGGGCTGTAACTGGAGGAGCTGGTGGGAATACAGGAGTAGAGTTAGAAGCAGGACTGGGTTTTTGTAAGCTGACTGAGGCTGGGTGCAACAAGTCTGTCCATGTCTGCAGTATGGGTTGAACAAAGCTCAGCTTACACAAAGCCTGTCTGGTCAATGACTGCACTGCGTTTATACAATCTCTTAGTGTCTGTGGTGAACATGTGGAATAACGCTCCAGAAAGTAACCCACATCATCCTCTAATAACCACACCAGGGACTCTACCTGGTCTGCACTAAATGGTGGCAAAAATTCATCCCTGCATTCAGGGGAACCAGATGAAACCAACTCAGCACAAACCTCAATCAATGGCTGCACCTCAGAGAACTCTGTGCCCTGATCTACTAGAACATGAGCGAGCCGTATACATTCTAGTAGTTGATCCCGGGATATACTCCTTCAGAGTTTGATAAGCATACTCTCTGTCATCAAACACTAGCAGATATAAATACACAACCTCATCCAGATCCATCCCTCCCAGCAACAAGCCAAGATGGCTTCCCTGTGCAGCCACTTCTGGTCAGGATTGGCCTTGGTGTAATGTCAGGGCTCCCAGGTGTGACCAGAGGTGTGTGACTGACGCAGGGAAACGCAGACTTCAGATATGTGATAAACAATATAATTTATTAACACTAACAATACAAACATAAACGCAGTGCAATACTAAACATAATACAGTGCAAACAAACCAAACCAACCACCCACAGATAACAGTACATACAAGCAAGCGTCGTCAGGCAGGCCGGGTCAATATCAATTGGGCAGGTAGGTACAGGGGGAGCAAGCGGAGATTGGTCGGGGTCACAGGCCAGGTTCAGCAGGTAGCTAGCAGCGTAGTACAGAGGGTCAGGCAGAGGGATGGTCAGGGTCACAAGCCAGGGATCAGAACAGGTAGCAGGCAGCGTAGTACAGAAGGTCAGGCAGAGGGATGGTCAGACAAGCCAGGGATCAGAACAGGTAGCAAGCAGAGAATCGAGCAGGAACAGGATACAGGGCCCAAGAGAAACACAACACCAAGGCAGAGTCTGCAAGTCTGGCCATCCCTTAAATACCCCAGCATAATCAGTTCCAGGTGTTAGCTGGCTGCAAAGTTGAGTCTCTGATTGCTGGGAGCACCCGCTGGCCAGCCCTGGTACTGCAGATCAAAAGGCAGGTGAGTCCCACCATTGCTGGCTAGTCCATTCCTGACAGCCTGTCTAACACCTGTCATATGCTATAGGGGCATTTGGCAAGAGTTAGAAATAAAGTCAAGTGTGAACGAGTCCTTACTTTAAAGATAAAACCCAAAACTTTAATGTGATCAGGGCCAGCATCGGGAGGGGTAGCAAAATGAGTTTTTCAAGGATTTTTAGTTCACTTTTACTAAGACCATATGACTTATATAAAAGAAAAACATTCCATACAGATGGTATATAGGTAGGAAATTGCAAGTGATGATATTTTATTATGTTGGCCTCTATACACAGCACAGGAAGAATGTGAGTTTTCTTCTGATAAATATTCCATGGTTATAAGAGGCACCAGGTGTGGATTGTGTCTTCCTCTCTTAACTGTTCATCTTCTCTTGGTTGTTATTGCATCTATTTATTGGCTATCATCCCGCTGGAGATTGAAGCTTTGTGAGTTAGTTTTCTGCTCTCACATTGTACAGCATCATATTGATTTTCATGGTGTGGGAATGCTTTATCTGAGGTTTCTAGACCAAGATCTTATTTTTTTTACATTTGAAACAATTCTTATTGTTGGGATATTTAGTTTGGGCTTTTTTGGTATAAATGAAGTACAGAAATGTATTGTTACCTAAAGGCAATTATATATTGTCAACATTCTCAGTGTGAAGTTATACAGGGATAACTTGCACAAATACATAGAACAATAAGAATAAAAAACTCAGCTCAGACGAGCTGAAATAAACTATTAGTTCAGATGACTGTATAGAAAAGTTTGCATTTGAATTAACTCAGTGGGCACAGCCTACCTGCTAACTGGCTTTAAAGCAAAACAAGAACCCCCTACCATCCCCTCTTGCTGTTAGCTGGCATGCAGAAAATACCTGTTTTGCTTGCCTAAAGCTGCAGTCAGGCCCTAGTGTTCTCTATTCTTTATAACATTTACATCCAGCGGAGTCCTTCTTTGGGAGCCTACGTCAATGCCTTCCTGATGTTGACACTTTCTATTGACTGTCCGGCTTCAGGGTCCTCTCAGGACCCAGAAGAGGAGTGACATCCTGTAGAGAAGACTATTGATGACCGGAAAGTGTGAGCATATCTGAAGTGCAGGACTAGCAGTCCTCATACCTGGAAACAGGAAAAAATGGGAAAAAAACCACATGCAAGGTTAGTTAGAGACGTTTGGGATGGGGAGGGGTATGATTTTTTCATCAGAGTTGGGCTGTAACATTTATCCTGGCATTCATCATTTGTTTGTCTTGTTAGCTAAATGCCTATTGCTAATGAAATTCTGAATGGACCCGAATCGGAGGCTGCAACAATACTTACCAAAGATGCTCCATAGTTGGAGCACCACTATCTTTCTAGGCCCACAAGAGCACATGACTTTTAGTAGTGCAATTAATGATTTTACATGTTGTTCAGGGTTGCTCTTTAGTGGCTTTCTGCTAAAAATGGCTTGACATTGTTTGCTAGGATGCTGTGCTCAGTGTAAAGTTAACCTTTGCTTTGCTCATGCAGCTCAAAGCATCAACTTTATTTTATCCTTTATTTTTCCTTTTCTCTCCTACCGCTCGATTCCACTGTTAGAAGCAAGAGCCACCAAACTGATTATAGTACAATTTGCTCAAATCCTAGTGAAGTGCTTGCCCCCACAGGAGCCGTTGGTGATGATGGGTCCTCTGTTTTTCCATGACTCTCTTAACTGTACACTCTCCACATTGTATGCATGAAGGAAAAAAACCTTTGCACAGCAGCCCCTCCCCAACACTTACCTGAACCCCATCCTGATCCAGCGATGTCCACGAGAACTGTAGTTCTCCAGGGACTCTCACTTCTGGTTTGCTGAGGCAGCACCGGGAACCAGTGGCTCCTGCTGCTGTCAATCACAGCCAGTGATCCAATCCGGCGAGGGAGGGGCAGGGCTGAGCCAGGACTCTGTGTGCGAATGGACATGCAAAGCCGTCGCTCAGGAGTGCCTGCTCAGGTTCCTCCATAGCAAGGTGCTTGCTATGGAGGCACCAGACAGGAGGGAGGGACCAGGAGCGCTGGCAGGTGGACCTGAGAAAAAGAGGATCCGTGCTGCTCTGTGCAAAACCACGGCACAGAGCAGGTAAGTATGACATGTTAGTTATTTTTTAAAAAAAACAAGACTTTAGTAGCACTTTAAGCATTAGTATGCAACCACTATACAATAAGGCACAGAAATTAAGCCACATGCAGCTTGGTGATGAAATAACTTACTGCATTATAGCAAAGCAGACATTCAAGGTGTAAATCAATAAACAAGCAATTGCCCAGACTTAAGGGCACTACAACAGATAAATGATCAACGAACTATTAACTTGTACTTAAAGGAACAATAGCAAGGTTAACTACCTGTCATGTACCGCCTGACGGTATCTCTAGCAACCCACAGGACAGAATTCCCCAGGGCGCGTGGTCTAAGTCCCAGTCTGCTTATTCACCAGGGCCCCTGATGGTGGGGATGGACTTGGAGCAGACTGTGACCAGGTCGCGACCCCTGAGTGCACCCGCCTGTGGTAGAGGGAACCGTCAGAGGTATGTACTGGAAGAGAGCCTGATGTGAAGAGGCGGCAGCAGTGACCGGATCCATGCAGGATGGATGGACGGATGGATGGCATGGTAGTGTAGCGTAGTCAGACAGGCCGGGTTGGTAACAGCGGAGACAGAACCATACAGAGCAGCAGAGAGTAGTCGGGTCACGCACCAGGTCCAGCAACAGGAGGCAAACGAGCCAGGGGCCAGAGCAGGAGATGGTCAGCAAAGGTCAGGATCAAGCAGGGTCGGCAACAAGGTCAATCAGCAGGCAAAACGAGCAGGAACAGATAATGAAGACCATACGGCAATTTGAGTCGGTGTAGGGCTGGTTTAAGTAGTGGGCCCTGCACTGTCATTGGTGCCAGGCGTGCATCCGCAATTGCGAGTGCGCATGCACGGCCGCCGCCATTGCCGCGGCTGCCTAGGTCCTAGCGCACGCCGGTTAAAGTGTATCGGCATTCTGCGCATGCGCAGACCCACGCGCTGCCGCAATCCCTGACACTACCTCAGAAGACAAAAAGGGGTTTATTTACTAAAGCTGGAGAGTCCAAAATCAGACTCACTTCTGCATAGAAACCAATCAGCTTCCAGGTTTCATTGCCAAAGCATCATTGAACAAGCTGAGGTTAGAAG